AGGCAGGGAGAAAGGCAGGGGCGAGAGAAAAGGAGGAAAGGAAAGAATATGGGAGGGAAGGAGGGAGGAAATAAGGAATAAAGGAAGGAAGATTTCAGAAAGTGAAAATAAATAAATCACTCCTAAAGTTGCCATTTAGTATTAAAGAAATTAAGTTCATTACACAGTTGGCAGAGTATTGGGTAAAGAACATAAAAAGTTAAAAAATTTTTTGTTTGCCTTGTAAAGAATGAATGCTGCGTATTATCAAAATCCATGTTTTGATTCTATTTGCAACACAAAGACACTAGGATTCTCTTCTATCCTTTCTCCTCTTCTATCACAGAATACCTTGCACTTCTAAGAGAAATGTGAGGCCATACGAATCTTTTACTAAGTACAATATCATTTCTCAAAAGACCGAAAAAAAAGGAGAAAATAAACAAATCAGCCAAATGACCCACAAGCTAAAGTAATGGTCATAATTCTTAAAACAGTGATTTTTTGACGCTTTTACCCCTTTGGTCAGCACTAACTCAGCAGATCATCATCTAGAAGGTTTCACTGATATTGGCAAGAAAACAGAGGTCACATTTTTACAATCTTTTTTCTTTAAGCAAATCATCTTGTTTTTTTTGCAAATCAGAAGCACATCCCCCTTTGTCATTCAACATTCCCTCTACTTTTTCATGCTGTAATTCTCAATGTATCTCCATGTATCATTACAGTCACTGAGTGCAAAATCCTACTTCTATTAGACTTCACTCAAAAAATAATCCTTCCAGGTGTATTTCTGTGTTTCAGGATAATTATGAAATAAACAACATTATTTTGCAGTTTGTATTCCTTTTTAATGATTCTTCTTAAAGAGTACACTTCCTGAAAGTAATTGATGTCATTTATTTTTTTCACCCTTAACAGTGGAACTGATTATCTTTTTTTTTTTTTCTTACTGATGATTTTTAATTATTTTTTCCTTTTAGTATTTTTTTTTCTTCTTTTAGTATAGACCTTTGGAAAAAAATATCAGTAACAATTATCAACTGTGGAGAGAAAACATGGAGGCAGTAATACTACTGGTCTCAGAAATGGCAGCATCATCGTGTGAGCATAAACAGCATTTCTATCAGCTATTTCATATAAATTCAAACCATTCCAGTTCATTTACTCATTTGTRGATGCTGCCTCTTTGTGGCAGAATGCCATGTAAAATGTACCTTTCACATTAGGGACTTCATCCTACATTTCTGTTGAAACTAGTGAAAACTCCTGTCTATGAGTAGTTTAGAGCTGTAGAGAAAAAGATATATATATATACACGTGAAAGAACACACACTGTTTGCAGGAGCCTCTCATTTAGATCTTACAGACTAAGCATTTCTCCTTGTGAATGACCAAACCAGTGAGCCCGAAAATTTTCTTATTTATACCCATTTAACAACATTGTCCCTATACAATGTTTAAATGAAAGGAGAATCAGGTCATTGTGCTTAGTATTAGATGAGAAGTAACTCCAAATAAGGGCTCTAGAAGCTCATTTCAGTCAGCAGCACTCACATCTCTCACTAGGGTCAGTAGGAAGTCTGCAGTAGATCAAGCGCAGGACACAGAATAACCATGTGTTGTTTCTTTCATGAAAAAAAGAGCACTTATATTTGCATTTCAAATCTAAGTAACAGTCTACTTACTAAACCGTCCAAGCTAAAGATAGTCATGCATTTTGCTTTTGCTTTTGCTTTGTGTGGGTGGCACACAGGGAAGAACACATGCCGACAAGACATTTATCTTGATTTGCAACAGACTGACTTATAGAGTTCTGCTTTTTAAAGGGAGGTATATTGCACGTGAATAGGAAAAGCAGGAGAGAACAGAGCCCTTTTGCAATAAAAGATGTACTTGTCAGTAACAGCGCAAACAATACCAAAATTATAACCTAATGAAAAAAGACAAAAACTTATGTGGAATATCACTTACCCTGTTTCATATATTGAAGAAGACTTTAGAAAGAAAACAAAATGTATATATAAAACTATCYTATTAAACATGTCGGTGCAACACATATCTATGCATCACTCTCTGACCCATGTTATATATGCTGGTAATTATAGTATACTGTGTTTTGAAAATAAAAAAATAGTAATAAATCATGTTATAGTTGAAACTGATTGATCTTTCTGATCAGGCATGATTGTTAATAAAGAGAATTCAACATATAAACAGATGATTCTGCAAGAAATTTTAAACTTCAGATATTCATTACTTCATGTTCTCACATTTGAAATATTTATCAAGTGTTTATTCAGAAACTATTAAAAAATCACATGTGTGGGAATATATATGAGACATCAGTTGCCTCAYCTTACAGTGATGCTGCATTTATGAATATTCTTGCGATTGCCTGCTGCCCAAAGGGGTAAAGACATTGTATATAGATGTATGTGTACAGCCCATCATTCGGTCTTTCAAGGTGCCAGTAAACACATGGATGTGCGCACACAAGTGCAATTGTTCTTGACTAAACAATCAGAAACTGGCTACAACAGTTGTCAAATCATTACATTTTGGTTGACTAATTTAAAAAAAAAATCCTGCTAGAATGAATGACTTCTACATGTCCCTCACTAATTCATCCACCCATGTGCCCTAGCATAAGAGTGCCAGAAGGTACCATTTTAAATAAAGAAGCATATTTTTTTTCCTATTGTGTCCCGACTGTCTTAAACTGTCTATTAATATCTGTTTATGACTGGTGTTAACTGTAATAATTTACAAGTTTCTCCAATACCTCATCAACTTGGGGGGGGGTGGGGGGGAAGGCTCTGAATGTAGTCCAACATTTCCGAGTAACCTGGAGCAACCTGCAAATTTCGGACCCCACCCTGAAAAAATAATAAAAAATAATAATAATAATAATAAAACACTTAAACATCCCGGTAATTTTACTCCTACGAATAGTTCTGCATCCTCTACCCTATTACAATCTTGACTAACTTTGCTCAAAGTTAGACTCTACAGAGAGACAACACACATGAGCAAAGTTGTTCATGAGTAAAGTCGTCCATGTGCTTAAGTGCCTGCAGGATGAAGGCCTGTGTTGGAACTTCTGTCATGAGTAAAGATACTCAGGCAAGTAGGAATTTGCAGGATTAGRCCCTAAAATAGTGAAGGAAAGAGAAATGCTAATGTGCATATAAAAATAGGTGCTACAATAAAATATTTTTTTATATTTCATCAATAAGTTATTTTCACTAACCAGTTATGGATCATATATCTCTGCACTCTTTAATGATTTGTCCACATCTACGGTGATCCTTTTAAAGATCATAATATATTTTTAATGCAAAAGTCCAGAAAGCATACAAACACATCCTTAAAAAAAGGAAACCTTGTATTAAAGTCGGAGTGTGCTAATCTCTCCATAAAAGCCATTTAGACTCACTCATGGCTAAAAGGGGGAAATGTGCGCTGTATTCTTCAACCAGAAAGAAAATAAAATTAAACGTCTGTCCAAAGAAAGGTGACCACGACTTTTGTACTTGTGACCTGAACAAACATGACCTGACGAGATCCTTGTGCCGCCTTCACGAGCACACACCGGGCACAGGCACCATGCAGGTGTTGTGCCCCGTTTACATGATGGGTGCTTTCCTACTTACAAACACAGGAGAAAAAAAAAAAAACAGAAATAAAATGAAATAAACAGCACACCCCTTCTGAATCATTCCCCGAAGCTGAAAAAATCCTGTGCCAAGGCACTTCACCCTACAACAAAACGAATTAACGGGTGGGAGGGGAGGGGCAGGGGGGTCGAGGTCAGCATTTATGTTTGTTTTGTGTGTGGTTGTTAAATACAAATACTCTAGAGAAGGAGCTGCTGGAGTAGTTGGGGAGGCTGGAGAGGGGTGTTTCTCAGAACTGGCTGAATGTGGTCTGTTTTTCCAGCACTTCGAGGTAGTCCGGCTCTGCGTTTAGTTTTGCTTTTAGCTCCAGGTACTCGTTCCTGTTGGGCTCTACATAGACAGTACTCGGGGGATTGTAGAGCACCGCCTCCCGGAGCCGGCCCTCGGCCGGCCCCGGGTGCAAATACTGCTGGGGACGCCTAAGGTCATAGTTGGGGGAGTAGGTGTAGGCGGCGGCGGGGAGCTTGGGGTAGTCAGGGAGAGTAGAGCCGGGGGGGCCCAGCGTGGGGGGAGGCGAGTGTTTGCCRGGCTCCAAAATGCCCCTGTAGAAGCGATCGGCCTCCTGTGTGGGTGAGCGCAGCTCGCTGCGCGGCTCGATGGTGCTCACGCTGTACGCGGCGCTGCGCAGGGGCGCGTCCTCCGCGCCCGGCGGCGCCGGCGGCGGTGGCCCCCCCGCCGGCTGCGTAGGGTGCCCGCCATAGGTGACCTTGAGCTCGTGGAGGTCTTTGTAATCCTCGCCCGCGTTGCCCTCCCGGGAGCGGTAGATGGGGTTCTTGCACATGTGGCCCAGGGGGTGCGGGATGTACTCGTAAACGTGCCCCGCGGGGGTCTTCACTTTGGGCAGCGCTGCCCCCCCGCCACCGCCGCCGCCTCGGTGCTGCTGCTGCTGGTGGTGCGGGTGATGGTGGTGGTGGCCGCCACCGCTGTAGACGCTGTACTGCATGTTGAAGGAGCTCACGTCGGAGTTGTTGGCACTGGCAGGGTCGCCCTGGCCCTTCTTGCGGCGCTTCATGACGAGCACAAAGAGCCCCGCGGCCACGAAGACAGACATGATGAAGACAAGCAGCAGGCTGAGGATGAGCACGGAGAGCGGCACGGAGGAGCTGGGGCCACCACCGGGGCTGCCCGCAGGCGCTGTGGCCACTGTGCCGTTGAGGCGCACCGTGGAGGAGGATGGCGTGGTCCGCGGCGGCCGTGGGCCAGAGGATGGCGTGGGAGTGGACACCACGATGTCTGAGTAGTCGGGGCACAGCAGCTCGGTCCGCACGGCTCGCATGTCGCTCTGGGCAAACTTCTTGGGCGACTTGCAGATCACCTGGTCTACCAGGACACCAGTGTTGAGCTGCTCCAGCCATAGCTTCATGCCCACCACATCACATGTGCAGTCCCAGGGGTTTTCATGCAGGTCGATCTGCAGCAGAGACTTGAGCTGGTCCAGCACCCCGCTCACCGGCAGGAAGGAGAAGTGGTTGCTGCGCAGGCTCAGCCTGTAGAGAGACAGACCAGAAAAAATGTTCCCAGGCAAGGATCTCAGCAGATTGTTGTTCAAAAACAGGAGCTGCAGATTGGGAACGGGTTCAAAGGTGCCTGCCTCTATCTCCCGGATCACATTGTACTGCAGGAAGAGGTACTGCAGGCTCTGCAGCCCGTAGAACAGCTCTGGGCTCAGCTTGTCGATGCGGTTCCCATTCAGGTACAGTCTTCGCAAATTAGTTAAATCCCCAAAAGCCCGATCCTGAATAACTGAGATACGATTATTGCCCAGATGTAGCAAATCCAGCCCAGTGGCATCCACAAAATCCGCCCTGCGCACCAGAGCAATGTAGTTCTCTGTCAGATACATTTTCTTAGGATTATAGGGTTTGGGCTGCAGTTCGGAAAGGCTCTCAATCTTCCTCTCCTGACAGTTGACGTTGAGGCCCAGGTCTGAAATCTGCAAGTTGCAAGTGCAGGCAGTGGGGCACTCCAAAGGCACCGGAGATTTGGTCTGGTAGGCGATGCTGGGGCCATAGTTGCTGTATCCCAGGTCTTTTGAGGGCAGGCGGGAGGTGGGACGCACCCGCGTCTTGTTGGGTTGGCGGGTGCCCTTGGGAGGCTTCAAGGGAGATTTGTAAACAGCTGAAGAGGAAGTGGCCACGGAGTTCACCGAAGCCGGGGTAGTGTGGAAATACCCTGTGGTGCTCAGTGGCGTCTGCGGTCTCATTTCATAATCCGAAATGAGTCTCCTGGGGCAAAGCTCCTGCTTGGAGACCTCGTCCAGGTCTCGACCATGTAATCGGAAAGGAGTCTCGCAAACCACATCTCCCACAAGAGCAGAGTAGGAGATACTGTCCAGCCAATCCTTTAGAGCAATCAGCTCGCAAGAGCAATTCCAGGGGTTTTCCTCCAGCTGCAGCTCCACCACTTTATCCATGTGCTGTAAAAGGCCCACATAGGGCAACAGCTTCAGCCGGTTACCCCTCAAGTCCAGGTGAGTTAAGGGCACAAAACGGAAAAGGTTGTTGGGCAAACTGGAGAGGAGATTATCATTGAGAATGAGCACCTGCAGCAAATGCAGCTTGCTGAAGGCATTGGGTTCGATGACACTAATGTAATTATAATCTACTTGTAGATACTCCAAACTCTCTAGCCCAAGGAAAGTGTCATCCCGTAGAAGTTCCAGCTTGTTGTTGTTCAGGTGCAGCCTCCTCAAACCTCTCAGACCATGAAAGGCGCCCGTTTCGATGTCCTGTATGTCGTTGCTCCCCAGGTGCAAAATTGAAGCCCCGGTGTAATTGACAAACTGGTTAGGGTACAGCCTGTTCAAAAGGTTCCCTGACAACAGGAGGTGGTAGACAGGGAAYCTCGGTGGACTGATCTCAAAAAGGCTGATGATCCCTCTGTTTTCACAGCTCACCGTTAAGATACTGTCCTTCTCCTCACAAGGACACGCATTATCACAGATTTCCCCATAATACTCGATGCTTTCTGCCCACGAAAGAACTAGCGATGTTAAAGCAAATGCGATCATCTGCAGCATCCAGATATGCATTTTTTTGTTGAGGTCCTGTTCCAAAGTTACTGTAGAGCAGCAAGCGTACATTTTATTTCCTATATGGGCAAGAAGAAAAAAAGAAAGCAGCATAATAGAGTAACACTGTAAACTGTAAAAGGGACACGAAGTTTATATATATATATCTTTAGTGCGGTAGAGATTGGATTGTTAATCATACAAAGAAAACTCCCTTCACTTCCAATTCCCACACTTCTGAAAACTGGATGACATGCATYGATTAAAAGCTTGATGGGCAACTCCTAGTGAGTTAAATGGCTGTAGTGCTTAAAAAGGTGAGGCCACAATAGAAACTATTCTGCTTCCTTTCATATGTGGCACATTTCAATGTTTCATTGGATTTCTTTTTCACGATCAGCCCCATAAATATACATAAAATGGCTGTCAGTTCAGTTTCATGCTTCTAATTTAAGAGAAAAGGAGCACCATTTTATGAGGTTTCCCACCTCCCTTATTACCCAGTTCCCCCTTCCCTTCAGAACCTCCTCAGTGAACAGCGCACCAAGGTCTTTCCCTGTTTTTACAGAGCCGAAGTGCTATCTCGATTTTTAACCACTCATGGAAATGCCATAGTAGGAATCCAAAGAAAAAATGCTCAGTGCTGAAAACTGCAGTTTAATTCAACAGAGAGAATACTGACAGATTCTCCAAATCATCTTTCCTAGAACACATTTATATATATATGTATATATGTATATATGTATATATGTATATATGTGTGTATGTATATATATATATATGCATATATGAAGCACACAGGCACACACCCCCACACATTACAGAGGACTTTTGTGGTGGAATTCTTCAGTAATGAAACTAAATACATCCACCTCCTACTTCAATACACTTAATAGTTCTATTCAGTGAGAGAAATTTTGTATCTTTATATGAGTAAACCATCTTAGTTGATTTTATGATGCCCAGAATGAGTTATGCACAATGTAACAGAGCTCACTATCAAGCTGAGGTCTTCAGTTCTTATATGCACACAAGCACACAAGCACACATGCACTCACGCTTGAAGGGAATATTTTAGCCACTCACCCAAAATTTGTGAAAAATGTAAAACATGCGGCTCATCCTCGCAGTCTCAGCCATATCTGACATACCGTTTATTCCCAACATTCTGTAAAACTAGCCTTGTAGAAGTGGAGAGATCTAAATACGTCTCATGGAAATATCTCATCGCCAACACTTCAAGCATCAGAGTTACTGATTATAAGCTGCGATGGCTGTCAGTGCTCTTCATCCTTTAGGGGAGAAGACACTCAGGCTGATTAAAAGCCAAGAGGGATGGGGGAAAACCCTACCATTGACCTACGTCAGTGATTTAAAACCTGAATTTCATCTAGCTGGAAACAAATCCAATTTCCATTGCTTCTTGCAGTCTTTCTAACTCCTTTTAATTTTCTTCTACTAGTCTAAAAGCAACATGAATAGGGAAAATATATGCACTGTGTGTGTTGGTAGGGGAAGACTAATAAATCATCCAGGCTTAAATGCTGGGCTCCAGGAGCAGGCTTGCATTTTCTATCGTCCACCTCTGAGCTCCAATCCTCATGCCACAACTCCGGTTTGGAGGAACACATCCTAAAAAACGGCAAGTCTCAGTACTGCAAGACATCTCCTGTGGCATCAGGTTCGAGGCTGCAAATCTAGCACTTGCAGCAAAGGCAGTCATGCAGCAAGGAATCGGAAGTCTCGGCGAATCTCTCTAATTCTGACCAGACGTCAACTGGATCGGAATTACTCAAAGCAAAAGGGCTTCACTGCATAAAGGCAGCAGAAATCTTACTCAAAGGCATGTATCTAGCATATTCTTTCTCAGCTCGATCAGATCCATTCATCCATTAACCGTCAGTTCTTCAGAAGAAAAAAAAAAAAAAAAAAAAAGGCCATTGAAAACCTGCCCGGTCAGTGTTAAACTCCCAGGCATTTTACAACTTTAATTCAATTATGCTTAGGAAAGGAGAAAAACAGAACCATCCCTCCCTCCTCCTTTCTCCCTTTCCATGAAAAAAAAAATAAAATAAGGGGGATGGGAGCCACAGAGGAAATAAAGTTGTCGCTGGCTGTATGCAAGGTTGCAATCCCGCCCTGGAAACCCCTCCGTGGTGACTGCGTGCTGCTGTTCGCCAGCTCCCTACAGAGGTTCATGAGATGGGGAGGGGAGGATGGGGGAGGCGGGAGGAGGGGGGG